AATTTTAAGTGATAGCCATGCTGGGTAGAGCAATCTTGGTTGTAGGCCTTTATTTTGTGCATAGACAACTCTTGAATGTTGGTTTGGAACCAGATCATGGACAGCTTTGAAGGCAATATTCCTCATAATCAGTGGAGTGCCATCAAATGTTTTGGAACTGTCACATGAAAGACTTAGCCTATACACACGTCTTGTCACTCTCTAATGTCATTTACTGTTAATGTAGAAGGTAAAATATGTGTTCTTTGCTATAATGGTAACGGAAAGGTATTCTAGAACGGGTGAATTAATTTACAAAGAAAATAATTCGTTTTAATATAAAAGTATTTCAATGGAATGCTTAAATATTTGTAAGTATTATCTTTCACAAATTTTGTTTTGAAATTCAATCAACTGTAGTGGCTTTGCAAACCAAGCCACTGAGGTAGGCATAACCTTTATTTTAGGAATAGATGAAGTATGTCTTCTACTCAATAATAATGAATTTACTTCAGTTGGGAAAAGAAAAAAATGTGGTGAGAATTTCAGAGTTATCTTAGTAAAGTGGTATCTGTATTGAAAATCTTTCATGACCTTTTACTAGTCAATTTGATGGAAAAATTTTGGAAAATATAATGCAGCACATTCCATTCACTGCATGAAATATGCCATTAATTTTGTGAAAAAAAATTAGTAAGCCCTGTTGTAGTTTAGAAGGAACATCTTTTATTTGGGATCTTAAAAAATAATTTATTTATTTTTCAATTACAGTTGGCATACAATTATTATATTAGTTTCAGGAGTACAAAATAGTGATTAGACATTTATATAACTTGCAAAGTATTCACCCTGATAAATCTAGTGCCCATCTGACACCATGCATAGCTATTACAATATTATTCACTATGTTCCTTATTCTCTACTTTACATCCCCACGACTATTTTGTATTTCTCCATTCGTACTTCTTAACCTCTTCCCCTTTTTTAAAAAGAAAGCCTGTGTAAAAAATAAATTTTGAATAAGGGTGTTTTCTGAAATTCTGCATGCTACATTATTCATTTGATTTAGATATCTCCAATTAAAAGTGATTTATTTCCTAGACACAATCTTGGTGCAGTTTTTTTTTTTCAGTTGCAATTACTAAAATAAAGTATAACTGAAAACTACAAGACATTAGTAAAAGAAATTGAAGAAGATGCAAAGAAATGGAAAGATATTCCTTGTTCATGGAATGGAAGTACCAACATAGTTAAAATGGCCGTATTACTCAAAGCAATATACACACTTAATGCAATCCCCATCAAAATTCCAATGGCATTTTTTAAAGAAATAGAACAAAAAAATCATCATTTGTATAGAATCACAAAAGACCATGAATAGCCAAAGCAATCCTGAGAACAAAGAACAAGGCCAGATGTATCACACTCCCTGACTTCAATTAATATAACAAAGTAACAGTAATCAAAACAGCATGGTATTGGCAGAAAAACAGAGACACAGACCAATGGAAGAGAATTGAGAACCCAGAAATAAACCCACATAAATATGGGCAAATAATTTTCAACAAAGGAGCCAAAAACATACAATGGAGGGGGGGAAAAAAAAGCCTCTTCAATAAATGGAGCTGGGAAAATTGGAAAGCCACATGCAAAAGAATGAAACTAGACTGCTGTCACCATATACCAAAATTCACTCAAAATGGATCAAAGACCTAAGTATAAGACCTGAAATAATAAGTTGCATAGAAAAAAACATAAGTACTAAACTTATGGACCTTGGGTTCAGAGAGGATTTTATGAATTTGACCTCAAAGACAAGGGAAGTAAAAGCAAAATAAATAAATGGGATTATATCAAACTAAAAATCTTCTGCACAGCAAAAGATACCAACAAAACAAAGAGACAACTAACTGAATGGGAGAAGATATTTGCAAACAGCACCTATGATAAGTGGCCAATATCCAAAATATATAAAGAACGTATACAACTCAACAACAAAAAAACAAACAATTCAATTAAAAAGGACCTGAACAGCCACTTCTCCTAAGAAGACATACAAACAGCCAACAGATATGTGCAAAGATGCTCAACTTCACTAGCCATTAGGGAAATGCAAATCAAAACAACAATGAGATACTACCTTACACTTGTGAGAATGGCTATAAGACAAGTGTTGGAGAGGTTGTTG